CACACACACACACAGATGCACACAGACTGAAGCTTTGTGTAGCTGTCTCTTATACACATCTAGATGTGTATAAGCGTGCGGGGCGTGCAGGGCGCGCGGCCAGGGCCTTGGAGCTGGAGCTCTTGTGCCGGCCGGCATGGGACAGAGTCGTTACCTGCTCGGGGCCCGTGAACGCTCAGCCAAAAGGCCTTCTCGGCCACGCCTATGAAATTGGTGGCTCGACAGAGGTACTCGCCCCCGTCCCGCTCCGACACATTGGCCAGGCGGAGGCGCACGTCGGCCTCCACACTCTCACTGATCCAGGACTGCGGGGACAAGAGACCCGGCTCAGGCACGCCCCTGAGGCAGCCCCGCCGGGTACGAGGCAGGATATGGGAGACCCCCAAGGTACAGACGGAGGCTGGGCTGCGTCAGCCCCGAAGGCTGCCTGGAGGAGGCGTGGAGGCACTTCACGGTGGCTGTGGTTCCACAGGATGCACGTCTCTGCCTCCACCCCAACAACCCAGCCCAGACCCTCAGACAGCCCCTGGTCGCTGGCCTGGCCTGCCCTCCCCGGGGCTCTTGCAGAACCTGGGCCCTGGACAGGGCCGGAGGTGGCCTCTCTCTGGGCAGGGTCTGGACTCCACCCTGGCCCTGGGCCTGCTCCCCGCCCCCATCAGACCGTCTTCTCTCTGAACAGATGTTTCTCTTTGGGCTTTGAGTGTCGCAACTGTCCCAATTCAGTGGCCCCCACCCGGCAGCCGTGGGAACAGAGCTAAGGGCTCCGGGAGGCGGGCAGACAGTAAGCTCGGGCCCCAATGCACACAGCTGACGACTGCCAATTGGCCAAGTCGGGGCTCGGCCACTGCCTCTGAGGTCCAGAGGGGGCCTGGAGGGCTTGGCCACTGCCCTCCTGTCCTGGGGCACCACTGCTGCCCGAGTCACACCCACCCCCGAGAGGCCCCTGTGGGCAGCTCTATGTCAGGGATTCAGTGGCCGAGGCTGGCCCTCTGCAGACACAGAAACAGCTCCCACCGCAGCTGCCTGTGGCCCGAGGTGTGGGGTGGCTGAGACTTGGCCCCACGAGCACCCCCACAGCTTCTTCCCCCGAAGCTCCAACCCCTAGGCCCCAATCCTCACGCAAACCCCAGCCATGGGGCACCCTTGGGGCCAGCCCAGGAGCCCGAGCTGCGGCACCCATGAGCACACGGTGGCCCACCTTGAGCACGGTGACGTAGGGTGTGCCGTCAGGGCCCACCTTGCTGCCATTCACCTCCACGTGCTTGAGCCACTGGATGTGGGGCTGCGCATCACTGTACACCTTGCAGTGAAACTCCACATCGCTGCCCAGCACCGCCGTCTGGTTGGCCGGCAGCCCCGCCTGCAGGATGGGTCGGTGCGGGGAGCGCTCTGTGGGGGCAGATGATGCTCAGGGGCCACCCCTCCCTCACCGCTGCCACCACTGCCGCCCCAGACCCATGCCAGCCCAAGGCCCTCACCTAGCACGTCCAGCGTGTATGTCTGCCGGATGCTGCCAAACTTGTTCTCCACCACGCAGGTGTAGTTGCCGCGGTCCGAGGGCACCACACTTTCCATGACCAGGCTCCACTGCTGGTGCCGAAGCTGCAGCGGGGCACAAGTGAGTGGAGGCAGCAACCACCGCGCCTGCCAGGCCCAGAGCCACCCTGCCGCGCCCACCTTGATGCCTCCAATGCGGTGCTCGCCGCGGAACTCCTTGCCATTCTTCAGCCAGGAGATGGAGGGAGTGGGGTTGCCAGCAGCCGGGCAGCGGAAGCGGACGGTGTTGGCGGCCGGCACAGCCAGCAGCTTCTTGTCCATCCGCTCGGGCCGAGTCCAGTAAGGGGCCCCTGCTGGCCGAGGTGCACGTGAAGGCCATGACCCGAGTGGGAGCAGAGGCCCCTCTGAACAACCTCCTTCCCAAAGCTGCCCCTGCCCACCCCCAGTCTCAGTTTCCCCTCCTGTGGAGGAAGAGGGTGGGATGAGGCTCCCAGGAGCCTCCACACCACGTTCCCATCCCAGGGCTTTCTCAGAGCTGGGCCATGTTTCCCTTTCCCTTCCCTCCAGGATGCTCTGCCTGGACCTGTGAAGTTGCGGGGCACAGGGCATTGTCCAGGGGAGCCCACCCGCCCAGAGAGGTTTGCCAGGGGCCAGGCCCACCAACAGGGAGACTGAGGACCAAGGGGGCAGCCTGATGTAGTGGACAAGCCAGGACCTGGGAGCAGTTTATCGGGAGAGGAGCCCAGTCACCTGCAGAGCCAGGAGCCTTGGAGGCAGCTGTGCAGCACGGGCCCACGGGAATCAGAGACCCTACGCCACCCTCTGCAGAGCTCCGAGTCTGACGGGCTCCCACCACCCCTCCCTCACAGCCCAACTGGTTTTTCTCCTTCCTCAGGGCTGGAACTGCCTTCCTGCCAGGACTCCGGCCAAGGCTGAGCTGGCATCCCCCAGGAGGGGAGCAGTCCTCCCCTCAGTGACCTCACGGCCAGCCCCTTCCAGGGACACACCCATCAGGGGCACTGAGGCCCAGCAAGAAGCAGTGTGGACACAGGCTGGAAAGAGGCACCCCAGGGTGCTGAGCTCCCTCCCAGGCCTCCTGGAAACCCCCAGGGTGAGTTCCCCCAGCTCAGTTTATCTCATGGACTCAGCCTCCCCTCCTCACCTGCTCACGCCACTGGCCCAGGGACCCGGCCCACACACCCTCAGTCCGCAAGTCGTGACTGCCCCCCACGTCTGTGCCATGATGACCCTCCCTGCACGCACTCACCTCAGAGTCCCTCCAAAACCAGAAGCCCCACCTCCCCGCTCTACAACTTGGCAAAGTCTACCTGCCAGTGTTCCAGGCCGGGACACCAGGCATCGTCCCCGACAGCTCTCCCACAGCTGCAGCCCACCCACCAGCCACCCTGCTGCCAGCCACCCTGCCCGCCACTGGTTGTGGTAGGTGCCTCCGGCTGGCGCCCTCACCCTGGGTCCATCCACCCCATGGCAGCCACCTGAGCGCCCTGCCGTGCTACGCTCATACCTAGTGTCCACCTCACCTATGGCCAACACCAGAGCTCCACAGGCCAGCCCTGGCCTCCTCCTGCTCCTAGAACCCCTAGGGCCCTGTGCCTCAGTCTCCCCATTAGCAACACGGGTGTCCCCGTGCACCACAACTCTGCCACCAGGGAGCCAGGGTCGGGCATCTAGAGCCATATCAGTGGCTCAGCCCCTCCTGCATCCTGAGGGGACTGGACCTTTGGGGTAACCCCAGGGAGGTTGTCCCAGGGCCTTAGGCCCTTAGCTGCCTGTGGAGGGCAGGGCTTGGCAGTGGCAGCAGGCCCCACCGCGGCCGGCCTGATCCTGGACCCTGCTCCCACCTGTGTCCACACCTGTGTCCTCAGCCTCGTCCTCCCCGTCTTCATCATCTCCCGACGATGGAGCATCTGCAAGGCAGAGACGGCCATGTCCAATGCCCAACCTGCCCCAGGAGGCCCCCAGGTGCCCCTCCAGGTGAGGAAGAGTCCCCCATTTGGGCAACACTTCTTGGGGGTGCCCTCCTCTCCACCAATGACCAGAGAGACCCCCCGCCGCTCCTGACCCACACAGGGACTCAGGGAGCCCGGCACTCGGTTCGTTTCTGTAGCTGGCGTGGCCCCAGAGCTCACCTGTCACCCGCACACTGAAGTGGCACAGTACGCGCTGTGTGAGCCGCTGCCGGCAGCTGTAGGCCCCAGAGTCCTCGTGGGAGGCATTCAGCACCTGCAGCCGCTGGGGCCCCACCAGGACACGCTCCGAGGGCACCAGCCCTGCGCCATCCTTGACCCAGACAGTGGGCCCCATGGGACCACCCCCGGGCGGGGGACAGCTCAGCTCCACAGCGTCCCCGCTGCCGAAGACCAACTGCTCCTGCTGGCTGGGCTCCGGGCCGGGGACTTCTGCGGGCAAGATGGGCAACCATGAGGCAGGCACCCCCAAACCTGGCACCGTTTACAGACACAGCAGTGGAGGCCTCAGCCGCCCTGAGTGAGGAAGGCTCTGACCCAGATCCAGGGTCCCACCAGACCAGGGGCTGGAAACCGTGCCCCGAAAGGGCCAGAGGTCTCTATCTTCAGCTTTGCCAACCAGTCTGTCCCAAGGACTCCGGTCTGCCTTGGTGTGGCAGCCGCCTTCCCCACACAACCTGCAGCCAGCCCCACGGCGGTGCCCCCACAACGCTTCATTCATGGACGCGGAGAATTCAAATTCAAAGTGTCACAAAGTGAGACTCTTCGTTCTTTTGATTTGCTCAACTGCTTGAAAACATAAAATCCCTGCTTGTCTCACAGGCAGCACCACAATGGACAGGTGCTGGGGGCAAAGGGGACAGGCTGCCCTTCGCTGGCCTTCGGCTGAAATGGAGCTCGGAGGATACTGAGCTCGACCCAGGTACTCGACAGAGGTAACACAACAGAGGTACCACGACAGAGGTACTCGACAGGGTTGGTCAGCCAGCCCCCTCGTGGCGCAGATTCACCCCAGGAGGGGCCCGTCCCTCTCAGCAGCCCCCACACCCCATATGGGCCTGAAGAGCAGTTCCGATGGACAGCCAGGGAACAGAACAGGCAAGGAGGAGGAGGTGCAGGGTCACGTGGCCATATGGACGGATCTGGGGGGCAATGCACAGGTTCACCGGGCAGAGCACAGGCCGGGGCAGCGCAAGGGGGCTGGGGCGGGGGTGAGGGCTCCCTGGGGCGGACAAGGTTCTGTATCCTGCAGTTCCTATGGAAGCTCCACACAGCAGGCATGACAGAAAACACACGTCGAACACGTCGCTGGGTCTGGCCGGGGGCGTCTCACAGGCCGGGGACTGGGGAGGCCCAGGTGGGCCCTCAAGGGGGCCTGGTGGTGGGGTCCTGCTGCCTGCAGGGGGACTGGGGCCCCCTCACAGATGAGGACCAGGCTGGGGGCAGGAAGCTGTGAGAGCCACAGAGCAGGTCAGCAGCCCCAATCCCTCCCTGGGGGCTGAGAAGCTGGGATTGGGGCTCACCCACAGGGGCAAATGTGCAGGCGGCCCCTGGGTCCCTCCCCAGCAGCTTCCCAGCTCCCCGGGGCCACCAAAGCCTGTGACCCAAGGACACACCACGGGCAGGGCTGGGGGAACCATCACCCCTAGGCTTCCCTGCCAGGGCCAGACAATGCGTGCAGGCGGGAGGCCTGGGCTTGGGGCCGGGACGGGGGTGGGTGGTCCCCCAGGCAGCCTCCTTCTTCAGACCCAGCTGGGCGGGTTGCGCCATCACTTGTCATTCTGCAGACGCGTGGCCTAGATTCGGGGACCCAGCTGCCCACTCTGACCACACCAGTCCCTGACTGCCTGGCCAGGCCCTATTCTCCCCAACCCACCTAATCCAGCCACACACGCCCAGTGCCCAGCATGACCCTGCCAGCCAGAAGGGCCCACACTCATCCCCTGAAGCATCACGGGAGCCCTCACCCCACAGGGACCCACAGCTCAAAGACTGCCCCTGCGGGGACCCTGCAGCCAGGGGGCTCCCGGCCTGACCTCCAGCCCTCCAGTTCTGGCCAGTGTCTTGTGGGGACCACCCAGAGCTGGGAGCTGCTCGAGGCCCCCCAGAAGGCCGAGAACAGGCTGGTCATGGCAGCCTCAGCTGCAGGCCCTGGCCCAAGGGCAACAGCCGGTTGGTTCCGGTTTGGTCTGAGTGGAGACAACAGGTCAAGCCATCCACACAAGTATTCGCTTCAGCCTGGTCCAGCGCGGGGGAACGGGGGACAGAGCAGCCCCAGGCCAGCCACACCGGTGGCCATCTGCCCGTGTGTGGTGGGGAGGGTGGAGCCCTGACTGCCCCCATGCTGCCTGCCTACTAGGTGCCAACAGAGGCCAGGGCACCCCAGCAGAGGCTGGGTGGCGAACACCAGGTGAAGGACGCTGTGACACAAGGCATGAGTGGCCACTATGAGCTCAAGGTCTGACCCCCCTGGGGAGTCAGCAGTTGGGTGGAGCCCCCATACCCCACCCAGCTGCCAGGCATGGGAGAGCTTTAGCCTCCCAGCAGCCCCAGGAAAGGTTTTCTTTCTTGATCAACAAAAGGGAGGCCCCACTGACACCACACAGACACTGGTGCCCAAACACATCGCAGACAAAACTCCTGCTGTACCCAAGGCGGGGTAGCCCCCCCCCTCTATGGATCCCACAACACGTGCTCCTGCAGGCGCCCCAACCCCACACAGTGCCAACCTCTACTTGGGCTCCACATGCCAACAACGGCCCTCTGCTGTGTGCCAGAGGGGCTGTGCTGGACCTGGGGGACGTTTCCTAGTCCCAGAGACTCTGCCACTCACTGGTCATGTACCTCAGTTTCCCCCATTGTGGCACAATGTGAAAATCCCACCCCACAGGCCCAGGAGCTCAGGGAAGGCACCACACCCTGTTGGGTGGCTGGAGAAGTGAGAGTGGGGGTGAGAGGCGCTCCCTGCCCTGGGTCTCTTGCCCCAGGACTGATGACCGTTAGGCCAGGGTGCTGGGGACGGCTAAACTCTGGCCTGGGGAACCTTCCTCCAGGTTCCGGGTCTCTGCAGTGGAGGCCCAGTGCATGTGAAGGAGCATGGGTGAGAGAGTGGGGGAGGCTTGCTCCATCATAAGCCCCTTGGTTGACCCCAGAAAACAAGGAGCAAATTCAGAGTCACTTCCAGAGCTGGCTGCCCCAGGGGTTTATTTGGGTTTTGGGGTGAGATGAGGGCTTAGGGTCAGGGAACAACACGTTTTGGTTTTGGATGCACATGAAGTTCTCTGCAGCTCTCTGGGGGACAGGAGGTATTGCCAGGCAGGGGCCATAAAATAGCCTAAGAGGAGGAGGCCTCCAAAAGTCCAGCCTCCCTGTCTCCCCACCTGGAGACATTCCTCTTCAGAGTTTCACAATAAAGTCAGGAAAAAAGGGATCTGGGGGCTGGGCAGGCTAAAGAGGGCTTGCCAGGGTTATCCGGCCTAATACTTCAAACAGCCTGCCATTATCGGTTCTCTTGGACAGGTGAGGAAACTGAAGTTCGAAGAGGGCACCAGAGCCTGGGCTGGAAGTCTGGAGGTCCAGGCCAACCCCTTACCCCACCAAAGGTGGCTCCACTCCCAGCTCATTCACTCCTTAGTCACTCAGGTGAGGGCTGCCTGCCTCCCTAGATGGGGTGACTTTGGACCCCCTCCTCCAGGAGACCCCCAAGCCCCTGGACTCCCACCCAAGCTCAGCTGTAACAAGGGGTGCCCCATTCCCAGTTCCAGCTCCAAGTACCTGAGAGCTGGGGGGCTGGGGGGTGAGTAACGAGGGGTTCCTAGGCTCACACAAGGACCTGGAGGCCACGCTCAGCCCAGGTTAATGAACCACCCAGAGGCCCACGCGGCTCAAAGTCCAGTCCGGCAGAGGAGGGATGGGGGAGGATTCAGTCAGCACCTTCAGGAAAGACCCTGCACCCAGAGACCCCTGCTGGGGGGTGTGGCGCTGTGGGAGAGCCGACCTCGTCTTCCTCCCTGCACCCTGGGGGGTCCCCCTAGGCTCCAACCAGGAACACAGCCCTCTGGGGAGATGGCGGCTGTCCTGGCAGGGCCTGGGGTGGCCAGGGCAGTCCAGGGGCCAAAACCTTCCCCACCGCCCTTGACCACTGTCAGCCAAGGCTCCATAATTTATGTTCCCGGGCAAGCGCCAGCCTAGACCTCAGTCCATTTCACGAGGTCTTTGTATTTTTACTGCCCGGCCCATCTTGTTAAGGAACCGGATTAAGTTTATTGACCGATCAACTCACTACCTGTTTCACCAGCTCCAGTGCGGGCAGGGTCGCCGCCCCAAGGCGGGGGGCGGGGCGTTCCAGGCGCAAGTGGGGGAGGCCCCGCGCGCCCGCCGGGGGTCCGGGAGAGGCTCCGCAGCCTGGCCGCCGCCCCTCCCCGGGGCTGGCTGACATTCCCGGGCCGTAGGGAGTAATATCTTTATCTGAATGAGAATACGAAAGCCAGGCTCCCCCCGCGGCCGCCCCTCCCGCACCCCTGGAAGCGGGGCCGCCCGAGCAGGCGCTAAAAGCGCGCGCTGACCTCCCGACGGCCCCTGTCACGCCGCTGAATGACACGCACATTCAAGCGCCGGGCCACTTTCATTCATAAAAAAAATGACATTGTTCCGGGAGGCTGCAGCCGCCGCCGGAGAAAGGGGCGCGGGGGCGCGGGCGGG